CCCCAAAACCCCAAAACCCCAAAACCCCAAAACCCCAAAACCCCATTGTTCTTATAAATCCTTGAATTAATTATAAAATTTCTTTACCTGAAAATGGGGAATCTGCAGATCAATAAGAACAAATCAAAGCGAAAGTCTAAGAATAAGGTAACTCTTGGGGTTTACTCTGCAATGACAATGTTTGAAGGCAACCGGGATGGAACGATAGGGCTCTTAGGGTACTGGACTTTGCTAGTATGTAGATAGAACTGATCAGTATACTCATCCATTAACCTTATAACTTAACTTCTACTTAATTTTACAAAATAATTTATATAGAAGAAATCTAAGAAAAGTAAATTAAGAGAGATTAAGACTGCAAGGCCAAGGGCCTCTTCAAAAAGGTAAAAATTTAGCTTCTCTCCAAATAATTTTCTTTTATCGATCTTGGGACGTCCATCTGTAAAGGACTTTAGAGGGAAATTTTGTAAATTTCTTCCCATACCTAAATGAACTCTTTTGGAAATGCTCAGAAATATACCTAGCTTATGAATCTAGAGATCTCGCCGAATGAGGAATATATTGACCTTTTTTGCAGCTTTAAATTATATCCTTGCTGAATAATTCACTAAGCCAATAATATTTAGGACAAAAAGAAATAAAGAAGCCAATGAAACCCTTTCGAAAAGGTCAGATTATTATAACATGCTTGGGATTCAAAGTGCGAGGAGGAACACCTTGTCCAGGACAAATAGCCTTCCAAGGATCTCACTAAGAGCTGCAATGGGCAATATGAATGAATCTCAGGACTCTTTGAACCTTGGTTCACCGAAACAGCACAAATATCACAACGATAGTGTGGAGAACTCTGGTGTTTTTATCCCAAAAAGGAGTCCGTCATCAGACAGGTTAATGAGGTTTAACTCACTTGCTATACACAAAACTGATGAGAATTCAAAAGAAAATATTGGCAGACTAAATACTGTTTCCACAACCTTTGATAAATTCGTATGAGATCAACAAGACGAGAAGAATAACGAAGATGATGAGGTCTTTGACAGCTTCATGATTCCTGAAGTCGAAGATTTTCAAATGGACTATCGTAACAAAATTTTGCAAAACGTAAGCACTGATCCAGATTCTATGAGGCAAAAATATTTGAATAAGCTTGCACAGAAGAAGGTATGGCTTGTACCAAGAGAAAAGCCAAAGGCTCACCAGACAATCACCATATTTGATTGGGATGATACAATTTTATGCACAAGTTATTTAAACCCAAATGGGTATGCTACAAATGATCCAGTCCCGATAAATGTGAAGCCAACTCTGAAGAAGCTAGAAACAATTGCGATAGAACTGTTACTTAAAGCAGTCGAACATGGGGACGTATACATCATTACTAATGCAGCACATGGATGGGTTGAATTCAGCTCAGAAAAATATCTACCCAAAGTTTATGAAATTTTGGATAAGGTAACTGTGGTATCCGCTCGAACAAAATATGAGTGACTGCTTCCAGGCAAAACATGTCAATGGAAAATGCATGCTTTTCTTGATACCACTAAGAAAATGGAGAAACATGCTGTAACTAATATCATTGCTATTGGAGATTCCAACATTGAGATGGAAGCAAGCAAGGTCTTGGCTCGTAAATTTCCAAGAGCTCTCTTAAAAACAGTCAAACTAAGAGAAGAGCCTTCCCCAGACGAACTTGTTAAACAGCTTGTCTTAGTGAGCAACAGGATGCCAAACATTTTAACGACTGTGAAGAACTTGACTATCAGGTTAGAGAGAAAGGAAGATTCTTAAATCAGCACATTCGACACTAGCTTATTTAAATTGAGGTTTTCTAAGATTACAGCCATTTATATTTCTGTTCTGCCCTGCTGATCAATATTATTAAATACTGAAGGGGTTTTGGGGTTTTGGGGTTTTGGGGTTTTGGGG